GGGAGCGAGCCTCCCTCAATGAGGCTCAGGAGATGGACATTTTGCTCTTAGCTTTAAAAGTAACCTGCTGTGTGAAGCCGGTCTGCCTTGGCTTTGTTTGCTTATTTTACACATCTGTGCATCTGTCTCTGCCCAGTACCTTGCAAAACGGGACCTGCGTTTGGTAAGAAGAAATGAAAACTAAAAGACAAATGCCATGGGGCCACTTCTATGTAAGATGCCCCAAGTCCAATTAAGTTGGCAAATGTTAGATTTTGAACCTAAATATAGGGCAATGCAGGGACTGTGAGCAAGCGGATGAAATCTGAGGTGGACAGGGTGTTTGCAGAGGAGACTTCATTAAGCCAGTAATGGAAGAGACAACCCCAGCTCTGCCAAAAGCTGGGGTGCGTGGGGTGCCTTTTTAATTTTCGGGTCCATTTTAATAATGATCTTAATTTTTATACACGCCACGGTGGAGCTCCACCCCTTCTGCGTGCTAATTGCTTTGAGCTGATGGTGCAGAATTACCAGCAGGCGCATGATCTTTGCTCTCAGTGGGAACTCCCCTACCTGTGTGTGCTGCACATCATGTAAGCAAATAGGGAAGCTGATGGCTTTGGTGGGAGACACATTTCATTCAGGCTTTAAATCTGTTTCTGGCAGGCACAGCCCTTGAAGAACCACCAAAGGCTGGGATGTGGCCAACAAATCTGCATAATAGCTAGTCCCTCCCTGGTTTAACTCTGCCTCTAGAAACATTCTCCTTCCTTCTTTATGTATATGTATTAAGCGCTGTCCCAAACTATGTGAAATCAGTGTGGAATTTGCCTGAGGTTCCTCCCTGCCTGCTCAGGGCTTCTCAGAAGCGTAAGCAAAATTAAAGGAGATGGTGGGGTTGGGATAAAACCACTGTTTTATGATCTCAGATAAATGTCACATATTTTAGCATTAATTGATATATTCTTACAGTAATCACTTCCCAGCAGATCACCAGCACGGTCATCACCACTCTCCCAGTCCAAAAGTCAGTCTTTTTTTTTTTTGTATCCTTTAAAAATTTCTATTTTCAACAAGCCTACTGTTATCACACTTTTGCTATTTTAAGTTTGGTGGCACGAAAAGGCTGACTCACAGAAAGCCGTGTTGTAGGATATATTGGCTCAGCTGAGGAAATAATTCTCAATTCATTCTTCTACCAAGTGCTTTGAGTTTTTTTTCCTGTCCCTCTCTCTTTTTTTGTGTGTGTGTGTCTTTTGGTCTCACATTATGGTACACATCTGGTACTATGAAAGATTGAGAGCTATTTCTAATGCATTGGTCTGCCCAGTCAAATGTCTCTTTCTGTATATACCCTGAAGTGTTTTATGTGCCTGCTAGAGATGTTACACAGGATACTCACACAACTCATAAAATTTGGTCTTGTATTGGAAAATGTTTTGTGGTAGTATGCTGCTTAATCTACTGTAGCCATTCACAGTTAATGTTGTGGTGGGCATTGCAGGGGGTGAAGATTACAACCTGCTTAGGGAAGTTTGATATGTTATCAGAAATCCTCAAGAATAAAACTGAAAGAAATGGATGTTGAATGAAATGTAGATAATTGACTAAAAAAAGGGAAATATGAGAGGCCCCAGCAAAGTCATCCTTCTGGCTGGACTTGTGCTGGAGTCAGCTCCTTCTGATTAGGACCTACAATCACCCTTTCACAGCTAAGGGATTGTATAAAATAAATCCAGGGTGTGCTTTAATTGAGTGTTAAGCACATCAGTGATGTGCAGTGAAAAACAAAGCTGGAGATCCAGGATGAAATCCTAGCCCAGCGGGGTGGGAGAAAAAACAAACCAAACAACTGCAAAACCTCTATTGACTTTAAGGGATTTAATCACTGGAGTAAGTTGCCTAATAACATAGGACAGGGTGTGCTTTGGCACCACCATGTACTTCGTTCTTTTTACATTTAATATGCCAGAAAACAATGCTTAAGGTCTTGGTAGATGTGGATATAGCATATCCACCTACAGGAAAGCAGCTGATACTAACACTATAATAAGACTAAAACCCAGTGATTCCTGAATGTACCTATTGATATTTTATTTTTTAAACCTTTTTGACACTCTTATTAGCAAAACCTAATTAGAAGGTGGTTTGCAAAAACTGCTGTCCTCAGGACATAAAGTATAGCCCTCACATAAGTAATATTATAATCTTTAAAATACTTTATAAACACTAATTCACCCTCCCAATTTTCTTGTGAGATAGATAATTATGTGTTAACAATATCATCATCATCATTAGTAGCTGCATTAGTCCTCTCTTTTTATAGATGGAAGCTCATGCCCTGATAATAAACAGCTTGCTGAGGGCCACATGAGGAGTCTTTCAGGACTCTGATGAGGGAGCAAACAGTCCTGGCTCCATTGTCCACTCACATGAAAATCCAGAACAATGTAGGTACAATGAAAGAAAATCAGGGCTTTAAGTATGGGCAAGAAAAAAGGAATCCTCTTCAAGCTGGCTGGATTCCTGGGCTGCCAGGAAGTATTAGAATAGTATGTGACAGAGATAAAGGTAAATATCTAACAAATATTATACCTTTTTGTACTTGTGCCTTTATTTACTTAATTATACCAAGTAAAGTAGATTGTATTATGAATCACAATGACACAATACTGAATTTCTGCAACCACATCCTAGCAATGTGAGATAATCCGGTTTGATCTCATATGAGAGCCAGATATGTCTTGCTTGAAATTTCAGAGGCGTGCGATAGCAGCTGGCACACACCCTTTTTCATAACCTTGTTAAAATAAAACACGTTTGGATTTGCTTGGCCATTGTAGGATGTAACATCTGAATTACAACCCTGCTGTGAAGGAAGCTTTGCCATAATCATGGATTTAACAAGGCCCTCTTCGGTATTTCTGTTTGAGAAGTACCTTTTTTCACCCCCTATTTTAAGAAATGTGGATATTTACATATCCAACTAGCAACATCAAGAACAAAAAATAAAACACTCCTTAGAGAGTGATTAAAGGCCAAAAATTAATTTGTTCCTACGTCTCTAAACTAATGACTAGAGGAACTCTGAAGCAGTCTGGTCTTGCATTGCTGGGTGTGCTCGCAGAGACGTTGTTTAACAACAGCCTGCCTGCTGTCATGGTATCCATGGTCAGAACATTGCCTCTCAAGGAAACCACCCCAGTTCACATTGAAACTGCAGCTCCACACCTGCAATAACTAAACCTGCTGGGGTAGTCCCTGTTGCTTTAAGGAGTCAGATCTGTATCAGTATTTTTCTGTGTTGTTCACTCATTTTTCTTCTCCACAATTGTAAGAAACATCCGCACATCCTCCTGGGGCCAGATTCTGGGTAGCAAGGGATGGTATTCAGGGCTTTCAACAAGACACTCGTGGTGCCAGCTGGGACAACTGTCACTTTGTCCTCCCTCTTGTGCCAGAATTGCTTCTGGAGCCCAGGGGGACAGTGGCATTCTCTGCCCGCTGTGGGCAGGGAGGCCCTGGGACTGCAGCAACAAACCCATCGTTTTTTTTCCTCTCCAAATAAAAGAAAGGGGAAAAATGTGCCCCAGTGGGAGTCGCCCTTCCCCTGCAGGAAGACAAGGTGCAGGAGCCCTTGCTTGAAGGGAGCTGAAGCAGCTGGCATCTATTCTCCTGTTTCTTTCACTTTTCTTTTAAAATACGTTCCTCTGGCAGTGATCTGAAAGCGCGCCTTGGTGTGATACATTCGCACACACATTTGTGTCCCTCTTAAAGCCTTTAGGGTACACTGGGGCTCCGGGCAGGAGGTCGGCAGCAATAAAACAATAAGGCCAATGGCTTTGTTTGGTAAATATCCCAATCCCAAAGCAGCAGTTTTTAACTTTGTCATCTGTAGGCTCTGCTATTTTGTGAGGCTTGCTGGTAGCTTTTAAAAACTAGAAACATGAAATTGCCCCTATGTAGAACAGCCAGGACCAGGAGCCTGTGCCCTGCTGAAGCTCTGTTTACCAGGGAGATGCTAACTAGTTCACATGTCTTAACACCACCAATTTACAGCTGTACTAAATGTGCTTTAAGTGGAATAACTTGTGTCCTGAAATTTCTGAAAGCTGCTTCATGGCTTTGCATCACACTGTTTACCAACTGTCTACGAATAAGGGACTAGTCTTCATGGCTTTGCATCACACTGTTTATAAACTGTCTACAAATGAGGGACTAGTCACCTGGTCGTGCTGTTCTTCCACTTTTGCTGTTTATTCTGGGAAGCAGAAACTTCCAAGATGGATCTGGATAAGTGCATCAATGAAATGATCGTCTTGGGATTGAATCCTCTCTGCCTTATGGAGATCAACAATGCATTTGTGTGTGTATAAAGCAATGGATAAAAAGTAGTGCTACAGGCATATTAATCACCAATGTTAGACATTTCTTAGCACATGTCCACTGATCAATTATTGATGAATCTGTATGCCAAGGTACTGGCAGAAGGTGCTCCCTACTCAGAAACCAGTCCCTTTCCCAGCATGTCCTCTCCTGCAGCCACTGTCAGCAGCTGCAAAAAGAATAAAGCCAATCCCTTCAGAGTGGCGAATTTCCACTTCCTTTCTTGGTATACTCAACAAAAGGGCAAATAATTTAGAAGTTGTTTTGTTTAATTAGATATCTTCCTCATAGTAAGGGAAAAAATAACGCTTAGAGTACAAAGGCCACTGGCCCTAACTGTTCAGCGGTCCAAATTCATTGCTCATAGACACAGGGAAGTCATGGGTAAGTCATGGGGAAATTGCTAGAGTGTGGGTGAATGTCTGCTCCTTCTCACTGTTTTCTGGCATGGCAGCATTATTAGGTCTAAAGGTGCCTTACATGAATCCGTTTGGGGATGCAAACTGAAAACAGCATCTTTGCAGGGAATGGGAACATCCGTGAAGGGGGCTGACTCCAACACCCTGATCCCTCCTCTGCGCTGTGCAAGGGTGCTCCCCAATGGGAGCCTGCCAGTTCTTCTCTTTAGGTCAACCGAGTGTAAGTCCCGCTTGTTTAAAATCAGTTTAGTTGGGGCTCGCCTGCATATCAAAGACAGTATGGTAATTTTTACAAGGAAAAGGCTTTGCCCTGGTGTTGGCCAGACTTGTCCCTGCTCTCCCTGTTTCACAACGTGGTGCTGAGTCACTGCCATTTCTTACCCAGCAAGCGCTCGTGTTCTCTTGGTGCTATGTTTGTATAGGATGGGGTCCTGTAATTCATGATGTAACTAGGGAGTCTCTGCATATACAAGAGCTAAAAATGAAACAGAGCCTTCCTGGTTCAATGGTATTTACGCACTGCCATGTGTGGGCAAGATTCATTCTTGCACCTAGACTGTGTGGTGGACTGGGCTTGAACTGGCTTTTCTGGTCAGTCATTTAGTTCCTGCTGATGTACTGGTACCTCTCACTGGGCCTATAGTCTCACCCTGATCTGCAAAAGATTTATGGGTATATATTATATAGATTTAACACAATACCATGGCTTTTATTATTTGCTGGAAAATGTTAATAATTAAAAAAACAAGTATTACTGAAGCATTTTAATCCCTGAAGTCATTTTTTAGTAGAAGGCATGAATTATTAATTGTTATTATTGCAGCACATACCTATCTCACAGGACATTGTGAGGATTAATTAATTCTTGTAAAGATGAAAAAGGCCATATAGGTGTCAAGGGTTATGACTAAAGTGCTCTGAAAATGGAAACCACCCCATGAGTGCCAAGTATTATTATTTATGGAGTCCGGGCAATGTGTTTGGTGCTGTACAAACACTGGTCCAGTTACTGCAAATATTTGCTTGTATGTGCTTTGTAGGCTAAGCACTCACTGATACAATTGCAACTATTTTGTTGTCTTACAAATATGGCTGTGAGAAGCCTTTCCAGCAGTTGGGATGACAGAGCCATGGGACATGAGCAGCTGGGCTGGTCAAGCACTCCAAAAGCATACCTTTATGCAAATGCACGGATGAACCAAGACCTCACATCTGTTCCAGTTCTACATCCAGAAGTTAGGGACTGGTCCCGTCTTTCTCACTACTACGAGACACTGTAAAAAGGAAACGTAGTAACAGTTATTGTTTAAAAGTGCCTCTCCCAGATCAAGGCAAAGCCAAGTCCCTAAGCACAGCTCACTCACTGAACCACCTGCCATAAACCATAACCTGTTCAACTGCCCTGTGTTGTGTTACCCAACGTTTGTTCCTGGAAACCTATGAAAGTGAGAACCTCCCTCCTGAATGCTCTGGAAGTGGCTCCTGGTAACTTTGAGCCCAGCCACCTTTTTTGGGCAACAGAACTACAAAGCCTAAAGCTCATCGCAGAAAGTGAGGCCTTCATGCAGTCCTGTGGGTGTCCATAAAGAAAGGAAACCCAGAACAAATCGATGGTGTAAAATTATTAAAGCAGAAATCTGCCAGAATGCACTTTGTGGATTCAACAGAGCAGAAGGTATACTGGGGTAATCAATCACCCAGCTGAGTACATCATCACATTAAAAACAAGAGCCTGGCACCCCAGAGTCGTGACTGAACATTTGGAGAACACCAGACCGTGGAAGCCTTCAGCCACATGACTTCAGTTCTGCACGCTGTTGCTGCTCAGCAGGTGGACGGGAAGACGGTGTTTGTAGTTCCTGTGGGCCAAACAGCACACACGTGAGGGGTTCTCCCTCCTCCCTTTCTCACACAAGCTTTCTGAAATTTACACCTCCCGTTCCTGTTTCCTGGGCTTCTCACAGCTCCTCCCATACTCGTCCTCAGGCCTCCAGTCTCCTGCAAGAGGTCTCTTATTTTCTTTCCTCCTGCCTTAGGCTATGCTCATCCCCCCTTCCCTCATCCACTGTTACTGCTTGTTTTCTTTTACCTGGGAAAGAAAGCCATCAGAGTATCAAGAGGTTAAATTCCTTCAGAAGCATGGACAGATCTGAGATTATAATGCAGGAAGGGTTAATGAGTCCCTTGCCATTTTTTTTGCCCCTATTTCCCAATGTACAGCAAAGTGTTCAAATTTTGGAATTGGACTGGTCTTCAAAAATTATCACCTTTTTACATATGTAAAGCAGACAACTTACACACCACTACTGGGAAGAGAAAGTGGACAATTTGGACCATCACGGTCATTACAGAAATAAATGCTGAGTATCAACTGGTTTGCAATTACAAATATGGTCCCTGGCTTTCTGGAGAGACTTTGGTTTCCTCATACAACTCAGGCCTCTCCAACGAAGGCAGCCCAAGGCTTTCTCAGAATTTAATGATTCTGCAGTAGAAAAAAAAAATAAATCTGTTTTCTCCAAGTATTTAAATACTCTTCTTCATAGAAGAAAGAGAAAAATGCCTGACCCTGAACAACACGAGCACTGTGAGATGATCCCATACCCAGAGACCCACCCATCTGCTTTCATCGAGGCTTTGTAGAGTCAAGGGGTCCCATCTACTGTGACATGAGGCTCATGTAGATGAAATCTGCCTACGGTTATGTCCCAGTCCTTAGGCTGAAAGTAAAATCCATCCTTAACTCCAATACTGCGACCTTATGACTAGCATAACTCTTCAGCAATGCTGAGCTCTGCTCACGTGGCCCATCTGTTTTCCAGTTTTGCCAGCTGCAGGAAAAGCAAGTCCTGCAGAAACACAGTGATATGGGAACCCCATTTGGGCAGCACCAGACCTGGACTTATGCATGTAGGGAGCCTTTGGCACAAGCAGGAATGACATCTGATGTTGATGTCAGATGTGTGCAGGGTTTGCAGTCACTGGGACTCTGCATGGGTGCCAGTGTCCGGACATGAGAGCGCTGGACCAATGCCCAAGAGCGTGAAATGTTATTTCAAAAACATTTTAAGAGAGAAAGGATTGCCTAGTGATGTATATGGGTTTGATTAACAAAGCCTGCTTTAAAAATTGAACAAGTGATGCAAACGATAAATAGCATTTCAATTCTAAAACTGAACAGCACCCAGGTAGGATACAGCATTATTGCTGTAGAGCATTATTTTTTATTACCTAAAATTACAGAGTAGACGCAATAACGGGCCCAGGCACAAGCTTCGCGCCGCACCCCGAGCAGGGCTGGATCCCCAGTGCCGGCTGCCATTGTCAACCGCAGCGCGCTACAAAGAAAGAAGTAAACCACCATGTTAAATCCTGCATTTACACAAGCGCCTTTGGCAGCGGAGCCAAATTAATGGCTTTCCTCGAAAAACCTCCATGGCTGTGCCACGCCGCCTGGTCACACGGGGCCCGCCGGCCCTTCCTCGCTCCCTCAGGGCTCCCCGAGCAGCGGGCTCAGGTCCCGGGCGGCTGCTGGGCCGCGCACCACCGGCAGGCCCGAGCTGACTCCCCTTTCTGCCGGGGCCCGGGCGGGCTCCCCCCTGCCCGCCTCTCCTCAAGCACGCCGGGCCGCCGCTGACGCCTGGCCGCAGAGCGCGGGGACGGAGAAAGGGAGGGGATCCCCCGCCCCGGCCGTCGACCCCCGCGCTGCCAGGGCGGTGGGTCTGTTTAGCCGTGCGGCCGTACCAGGCCGGTCCCACTCCCCCTCGCTTGGCCTCGCCTCCCGGCTCCTTCCCTTCCCTCCCTTCCCTCAGCGGCGGCGCTGTCTCTGGCGCCCATTTCCGTGCGGCTGGCCACCTTCTCCCCGCGCGGAGTGTCTGAGGGCCGCTGGCTGCTCGGAGCCGCTTGGCTCCTTCCCTTAGTAACAGCTTTTACATTCTGCCTCAATTCCTCCTCAATCTAAATCACACACACATACACAGATATTACTTTTTTTTTTTTTTTTATCCCCTCCCTCCTTCCTCGGGACTTAATCTCTAACCCCCCCTCTCCCCACCCTCCCCCTCCCCCCGGCCCCTGGCTCGGATATAATTGAATATCACAGCACTACGCGCTGCTTATTTTTTTTTTTTCTTCCTCCTGTGTGTGTGTGGTGGTGTTTTGGGGTTGTGTTTCCCCCCCCTCCCCCCCCCTTTTTTTTCCCTCCTCCTCTCGGTGTGGACACCTCAGCTAAAAAAAATATATACATTACCGATACACGTACGTGTGTACACACGCACACACACACACAGCGGCAGAGATGTGTATGTATATATATATGGCTGTATAAAAAAAAAACCGGGAGGAGAGACAAACAAGGGTGAATTGCTCGTACCTCCGTTCCCAAGGAGGGGGGGAGCCGCCGCTCCGCCGCCGCTCGCAAGGTAAGCACCGGGGCTGCCCACCGCCGATCCCCGCGGGCCGGGAGGGGGCCGCGGGAGAGGGCCGCGGCCGGGCCGGGCCGGGGAATGGGGGGCGGGCGCCCTGTTTGTCGTTGTGGCGGCTGGAGGCGGGCGGGGGATGGGCGCTAGCCTAACGCTCGCCGCGGCCCCTGCCCCCCCCCCCCCCCCCCCCGGCCCCCTCTCCTTTATCAGTGCTGTGGGGTGCGGGGGGGAGCGCCCCGGGGCTCGGTTTTGGGAGTATGTTGGTTTTTTTTTAAGCAAACGGCACCCCCTCTTCCCCTCCCCCTCTCCGCGCCGCTGGCCTCCCCTCCCCCATCCCGCTTCATTTTTGTTACAGGATTTAACGGGGGACACACACCGGCCTGGGCAGCGAATGGCACACGGGAGCCATGGCGAGAGGCCTATTTTTAGCCAGTTTTGTGTGGAAAAGCACTTTCCCCTCCCCCTCCCCGTTTATTTACTTGGGGGGGGAGGGGAAGGGGAGGAAAAGCAGGGTGGGGGCCCGGCCGTTTTTGGGCGGGCTGGCGGAAAGAGGCAACACAGACCGTGCCTGATGTCTGTGTGTGTCCCCCCCAGGGGTGAAGCAGCCAAGTTACTGATCAGTTTCACTTGAGAAGTTCAGGGCGGACCGTGAGATACCCCGTGGTGGTGGCAGGGAGTAGGCCTGGGTTGGGCACAAAAATCAGCTTCTTGGCACCTCACTTAAGCCTGCTCTACTTGGGTTGATCCCTGTCCGAAACCCTGTGCAAATCGTGCATTGCATCTTCTAGGTAGGTTTGCTCATTTGGGACAATGTGTACGTTTTCTTGGCAGAGGATATATGTCCTTCAGTATGTGGCTTGTTATTATTGTTGTACTCCCGAAAGGGTTAAACATAGTGTTGTTCCAGGTGAATTTAATCTTTCATCACCGAATTTCCTTTTAAGGCAGCCTGACAGAATAAAAGTCTCCACTTGCTGGTCTTTTTACTTTATCCTCGAAAAGCAAACTTTGTATGTGCTGTGTGGCAAAGCCTCATTGCTGTGGATGACACGTGAGTCTGGAGGAAAGTTTGGTTTGTAGGTCGCTGTGTAGGAAAGTGAAGTTCTCTGGTGAAGTTTTTACTACTCTCCAGTGTGCTCAACTTCCTTGCTTTCCTGTCTGTGTAAATCAAAGACTTAGCTGATTTATGGAGGGGACAGGGGATCACAAAACATATTACTTCTTTATTGTTAAAGCATGAGAAGCATGATCAGGAAACCAAGTCTTTGTTGTGCCAAAAAAAAAAACAACCCACCAATTATTTTGGACTCTTTGCTATCCTGGTGCTAAAATAAATGTCTGAGCAGATTAAGCATGCTAACAAGGTCCTTTGGTATCTGCAGGCTCTACCCTTTGAGTGTTCGCTGGGGCAGTGGTTTGCACCCCTTTGAGAGCGAGGTCACCATTTGCAAAGTTGATGTTTGGATTTTGAGTTGGACGGCAGCTTTCGGTAGCACAGGGCTTTTGTGGGACCTCTTACTCCAAGCAAGCTGAAGGCTGGTTTGTGTGAGACTCATGCTGGATTTGGGGCCTTCCTTGGGACATCTTGTATATTAATTGTTTTTTCACAATATATTTCAACTGAGGACTAATCCTGGAAACTTCTGTGTGTCCTTGGATTTCAGCAAGTGGATATGTATTAGTGGATGAGCTGTGAAAGGGTTTTTTTCCTCTTAGTCATAGAACTAGAAGGCTGTACTGTTTTGGTGATAGCGCTTAGGGTGCAGGTGGTGCCCTGTAAATGATCACAGCAAACTTTCTGTGTTTTTTTTTAGTGATTTTTTTTTTTTCCCTTTGCTTTTGGTTAAGATCTAGTGGAATAGCTGTGTGGTGTATTATTTACCTAAGATCACCTGGGCCTGTGCACTGTTGGTCTGAAGTTGTCTTAGGGGAAGGTGGATTTGTCTCCATGAGAACAGGGTTCATGTGGTACTGTGTCTTGGGAACTTGGTGGCATGCCTCCCAAACTGTTATTGAGAACACCTGGAAAATATTTAGTTCTCACTGCACGAGGAAAGGGGAAGGAAATGTAATCTGAGTATGAAAGGAGTTGGGGATTGGCTTTTGGGCTTTTATTTTTTTGTAAGACCAGGTGAGAGTTTATGATTTTGTTCATTTAAACTTCCACGACCATAATGCATGTGTGTAGCATAAACAATGCAATAACTACAGGAGATTCTATTGCTTAAGCTCTTTTCCTCTTCAAACAGGTAGTTATGACTTCTTTTTTTTCTCTGTGAGTTTTTTTTTTTTAATATGAATACTTCTTTCAGTTTTACTCTATATATGGTAATTATTGATATTTGTGTAATGCTTTGAAGTTGTGAGCCATGGTACAAGCACTAAGCACCCAACAGCAGTACGTCATAGTCATTTTCCCATCATGAAAGAGTTTGATGCTAAAAAGCACTACAGCCCTGAGCATAAAGAAGCTCTGGATGGATTAGCGAAATGGTCAAAATTGCTGAGAATGTTGTTTTCAGGTAATATTTTTTAGTTAAGAAGAAAAAATCTGAATAATGTAAAGCAAACTGAGTTATCTTACCTAACTCAATTTTGGTTCTGCAATTTAATTTAACATGAACTTCACATTTGAGTCAGAATGTGTTTGCTGTTATAAATTTTGTAGTGGCAGTAAAGACCCACATCCTACAAGGATGTAATTGTGCAGAAGTCAGGAAGTTCTGTGGAGAAACACACGCAACTTTGTGAACATCAGTGGTCTAGTTCAGGTGAATAAGCTCTGCAGATGTCTGAAGTTGCTTACAGAAGTTAAGTGTGTTTTGTATTAGCAGTGGGCAATAGGATGTGACTCTTTCGTGACACTGATACTTTTTTATCACAGCACTGTTTAGTGTTTTGGGGAAAGCTGCGGCAGTGGCAGGCATGGCACCTTTTGGGATACCTTTCCCTCACTAATCCTGTTCCCACTTCTCATCTGGAGTCCTAGGAGATAACTACCACCCTCCAGTTTTTGCATGCTTTGCCTGTCTCTTTCATTCCCGCTATAGCTGCTCAGGATGGTGGTGCCCGTGTGAATTCTGACACCTTGATGGAGAGGCAGACACAACCCTGCCACCAGCTCTTCCCCTTCTGAACTGGGATAGGGAGTTCAAAAAGTGGTCCAGTCTGCTTTGAAGAGGAGGGGAAGAATAGGGTGTACCGCAGGAGTGTGTTTTGTCAGTACTGTAATATTGTGATACTGAATTGTATCATACTGACATACAACTAATTTTTAATCTAATTCCTGTTGTTTATATTGAGAATTGTGATACTGTTATGGGTACTGACCATCCTTGGGGCCTGTGTGTGTGTTTCTGCATGCGTACACATGCACAATGACTATATTTAAAACCCTAAACATCAGCTCATGCAAGTAGATGCAGGTTGGAGAGAAGTGAAAGTGTGTGCACGCACTCTATAATTATACATGTTTGGTTCCTACAAAAAGTGCCTTCTGCGAGAATATGCTCATTGCATGCTCATTAAAAAATATAAATATAAGTGTTTGTGCTAGGGGAAGAAGTGTCATAAGTTTTTCATTAGGAACTATGGTTGATACCTCTTCTCAGTGTTTGAGTTGCACTGTAGCATTAATGTAGTTCCTTCAAATTAACAGGTGATGAAGAAACTGTTTCTATTTTCCTGCTACTGATTAAGCTACCGTGTCCCAAATACATGCAGCTTTCTAAGTGCTGCAGTGTGAAGTTAGATGGTCTTAATTTCTGTAAAGTAGCTTAACGGGAAGAGTGACTTTACTGGAAAAATGTTCATCCAGTGATCTCAAGCAGAGTAGATGGAGACTGCTTTATTCATCTTGTAATTGGTTTCCTCCAAGATAAAGTATGACAATGAAATGAGGAATAAGAAATATCATTTGATATGAGACTGACTTAGCTAACTTGAGGTAAGAAATAGCGAAGATGAGGCAGCACAGCTGTCACTTCGTGAGAGTTGATAGATTGACTGAAAAAGTACCGAAGTCTGGTATAGAAATCACTCTGCCAGTTTGTGTGAAAACTGTGAACTACTTCTCCTCATTAGGGTTCTATCTTGTGGTATCTAATCCAAGATGAGAAGGCCCTTTTTT